GGGCCGAGGTCAACTGTATGAGGTTTAATAAGACCAAGTGCCAGGTCGTGCTCTTGAGTCCCAACAACCCCATGCAACGTTACAGGCTTGGGGAACAGTGGCTGGAGAGCTGCCTGGCAGAAAAGGACCTGGGGGTGTTGGTTGACAGCCGGCTGAACATGAGCCGTCAGTGTGCCCAGGTGGCCAAGGCAGCCAACAGCATCCTGGCTTGTATCAGCAATAGTGTGGCCAGCAGGAGTAGGGAAGTGATTGCGCCCTTGTACTGGGCTCTGGTGAGGCCGCACCTCGAATCCTGTGTTCAGTTTTGGGCCCCTCACTGAAGGGGGGCCCCTCATCAGAAGGATGTTGAGGTGTTGGAGCTTGTCCAAAGGAAGGCAATGAAAGGAGGGTGTAGTGGGGTGGCTGTCGGTCTCTTCTCCCAGGTAACAAGAGATAGGACAATAGGAGACAGCATACAGTTGCTCCAGGGGAGATTTAGACTGGATATAAGGAAACATTTCTTCATTGAAAGGGTTGTCAGTCATTGGAACAGGCTGCCTGGGGAAGTGGTTGAGTTGCCATCCCTGGAGATATTTAAAAAACATGTAGGTGTGGTACTTAGGGACATGGTTTAGTGGTGGACTTGGCAGTGCTAGGTTAATGGTTGGACTTGATGATCTTAGTGCTAGGTTAGTGGCTAGACTTGATGATCACAGAATTCTTTTCCAACCTAAATGATTCTATGATTCCTTAGGTATATAAGACAGTTCAGTAAAGCGTTTATATTGTATGCTTCATTTTGAACATCTTTAAGTCTCACCATTTTCAAGTAACACATATGCACATGCTTAAAACGTGCTCAACTTACTTGCTGAACCATAGCTTTTATCTTTATATGTCACTATAAAACAGAGTAAGTATGTTAATGTGGCCAGGCGTTATTATTACAGCACTCTAAAACAGAAATCTTAATCCCTACTGTACTTTAAATTTCAAAAATTAGCCTTTATTTACCTATCCCTCCAAACACTTACTCTTCATCTTAGTGGTGCTAAAGACATATTCTGTTCCACAGTTTCTGGTTCTTACATACGTTTACAATTCTAAACTGTACAGCCATCACATTAGTCTAGTATTTCCCAGTATCATCTAGAAACAAGAACTACATATAGAACTTACACTTTTAGTTCCTTAACATCCGGGTTACTTTCTGGTAAGACTCCGATTCCTCGACCATAACAGGTGCCACCGTGAAGATGAAATTCTATATGTGAGACAGCTTCATCATCAGCACTTGCTTGTTTTGCATGCATACTGTAAATTCTCAGAAAACTTCCAATCTTAAAGGAAAAAAAAAGAATTTGATAACACAAAGTTAGCTATTTACTTGGAAAATTCTAGGCCTCATAAAGCCCTGTTTTCACTGAATCACAGAATAGCTGAAGATGTCAGGCCCCTGTGGAGATTGCCTAGTCCAACCCCTGTGCCCAAAGCAGAGTCAACCGGAGCAGGTTTCTTAGGGCTGTCTCCAGCTGGGTTTTGACTACTTTCAAAGATGGAGACTCCAAAACCTCTCTGGGTGACTTCTTTGTTGTGGTTTATCAACAAAAACATTGCTGGCAGCAAAGGCGGATTCAGCATTCTTCCTAAATCTGATTCTCAAGCAGACTTCAGAAGACAGATCGAACAAGCCAACATATTCCTTTTGTGAGGGCACAATTTGCCTTCTATATTCACAACACAGCCCTCCAGAGACTGACAAGTTGTGATTTGTCCATGTATGATCGCACTCCGCAATTGAACTCACGTCCATCATCATGCATGGCGTATTATCTGTTTATGTATACCTGGAAACATGTCTGCTTGCCCAGATTTCTTTATCATATCTTACTCTTACATTACAGATAACTTTTTTCAGCACCACATGTTAGAAATTCAAAGATTTTTGCACTGTTCCTAACTCTGTTAGATTTTCCCCTCAGGTACAGGGAGAACATGCTTCTTGTTTTGCTTAGAATTATTTTGTGTTCTCTGAAACAGTTTTGTCAAGTTACACAAATGGACTTAGGCTAACTTAGACAAGCACCTATTAAGAAATATGTTATGGGGTGCTGAACATCAAACACATCTTTATAACTTTGCTTTTATTTCAGAATACCACCTCCATTATCTCCCTCCCAGCCAAGCCCCCCAAAAACCCAAACAAAACCCAAGGTTCTAAAGGTAGATAATCTGGAGACTTAATTATGTAGTTAACTTCCCTTTGATGTGTTTTAAAGGCCTTTGAATCAAATCAACTAGCATCCAAATATTTTTTTTTAAGTATAACCTAAGATCCATCTGATAGTTGGCAAGCTACACACATTCAATAACATGGATTTATGTTGACCCTAGGTATCTTTTAAATAGCCCTATATAAATGATAAATTATTTTAAATTTACTTCACTTAACGTTAATATTACAGCAACCAGTCTGTTAAGTCTTATTTCAGCTTCAGCTCCCGTTTTAACCAGTAGAAGCTGAAAAAGCATTCCTATTAGACTGGATTGGCCAGGTCTTAGTACAACACTTATAAATGTATGTATATATGCATAAAAGCAGATAGAGCAGCATCCAGATTCTGGAATCCTCCTCTGCATCAAGGAAGAGACTGACTATATAATGCTGGTATCAAATTGCTCTTTTAAACAATAATCACACATGAAGAAGGCAGCGTATTTTCAAATTCAGGCACCATGACATAAAAAGTGCACTTCAGCCTGCACCTATTTTACTTATGCCATGGAACTCTTACCAGAGTTTTAATTGATCTCCACCATTAGAGGACTGCTCATTTTGTTCATTCAAAGCTTATCAACGGGACAGCTTGTGCATTTAGATGGCAGTTAAGAGATTTATCAGGAGGCGCTTTTTTTTTCTTTCCAGATGCTAAATTTCACTTAATTATGCTGAATATCCAAAAATGCAAGGGACAGTCGTATTAAAACTAATCTAATGACTATGAAAAATGCTTTTGGAGAAAGTTTATCTAAAAGTTCCTGGCTTGTCAAATAACCTTATGTCTATATAATAATGCCAAACTACTTTTTCTTCCCCCAAGAGTAATTTGTATATAAGCAGGAAAAAGTAGATTATAATAGAAGAATTTTTCTTTCAAAACCGATGTATGAAAAAGCTAAATATATACTATATGTACAAGCATAAGACATTAATCATGGGAGAAGAGAGCCCAGAAGCCAAGAATACAAAATGCTGGTTTTGCCTTCTTGTGTGCTGAAATTCATGCAAAAGTCAAACAACTTACATATTTTAGTGCCACACTCAACTTCCCAAGATTCATGATGACTATAAAAATATATCTTCCTATATATGCATGTTATCAGATACATTTTCCATCCTATGCCAAATACTGAAAAAGTCTGGAAGGTTATGAATGTCAGCACAGACCACTAGAAACGACTGTGCAAGATGGAGTGCAATTTCTGTGAATTCCTTTCGGAGGCAGCATTGCTTACCATTAAAACAGCAGTAAGCAAATGTGGGTGTTATGGCTAAAAATGTTTCTGTATTTCTGTTGTTTACAGAATGCCTGCAGACTGAGCACGTTATATACTTGACTTAGAAGAAATTATAATCTACATTAAATTAAACACCACGATTTACAGAGACATCACTAAGACCTAGTAAAAAACCAACTCCTTACTTGACTTTACAGCACTTTGTTTATAAACTACCTACCTCATTTAGAGCAAGTTCATTTAAAATTAAATTAAAGCAGTAAGAACACGTTTCTTGCAGTAATATAAAATATACTAATACCCTATTCGCAGTCTAGTTCAAATATGACTATTTAAAAAATACATATTAAGGCTGAAAGGAATTAAAATGGAGAAGTTACATATGCAGTTCCCTGTTTTCAGTGTAGCAAATTCTCATAATTATTTCAAAGCATATAGGGTTGTGTTCACACTTAAGACACTGACGAATTCAGAACGGTCATTTATCATGGCAGTTAAATGACATGAAGACACTCATGTGAGAGTCTTCACATGACACTCATGACAAGAGGCTGTCTTTATTTACAGGAATCACTTAACAAAATAATCTGTACTAATTTTCTACCTCTTTTATGCCTGATGATATTCAATGAGAACTCTTTGTCATAATTTTATCATATCAACAGTCTAATTTTACTGAGTAAATTGTGCAGAACTTTTTTGCAAATGATAGGAAGCATACACACAGCATTTGGGTGTTGTCCTTTGCAATAAAAAAAATACCAACTTAAATGCATTAAAGGGTTTGGAGGACTTAGGGTGGGATGGGGGTGTGTTGTGGTTTGGTTTTTTTCCTCCTTTTGATGAGTACAAAGACAGAAGAGGGGAAGATACCATTGACAGGTCAAAGGAATGCTACCCAGACCTGAAAAATATGAAGTTAGATATTATAGCCATGTAACTCATTTAAGTTGCAGGCTGGAAATGTGACTCAGACACTAGAAAAGCAAGCAAGACTTCTTAGTCCAAACTATTATAAAAAAAGTCATGACACTGTATACAGCAGGAGGAGCATCTGAAAATACTAAAATTCTGCATCTGAAGATACATAACATGAAGTAAATACTGTAAAACTACGGACTAGGTCTTCTATGCATGCTCAAGGCTGTTTTAATTGTACTATCCAGAAAATGCATTTCAAGACAAAAGTGATGGTATCAAGCCATAAGAGGAATGCACAATACCACATTTTCAATGAATGACAGTACATAAGAAAATCTCCACCCAGCTGTGGACAACTGGACTCCTACTGTACACTTGACTGACCACTGATGTTCACTCACCTTGATGCTTACCATCTAGCAAACTGCCCCAGATGGAGAAACCCATGTCACAGACCTATTCCCAAGCTGTATGGCAAGGTCTGAGTGAATTCTGAGAACCTCTGGACAAACCTGAATAAGAAAGGCTGAAGAATAACGAACTACACTCTAAGGGGAGCAACTGTCCTGTGGACAGTTAGTTGCAGGCTGGGTTTCCTAGAGTAATGAGAAAGCCTCATGCACTCCAGGTAGCCAGAAGAAGAGGGAAATTTGGGAAAACGCAGTGAACACCATTGTCTTTGCTTAGTTGTAGCTCTTCTTGTGTCTTTATACCCCAGGAAATAATATACTTCAGAGATGAGATTTCTGAAAATTCTGTTTGTGTTTTGATAAGGCAGCAAATGCTGAAAAGCCACAGTCTTACCCAGCAGGAAAGGAAGGCCTGTAAATGTAGGGGACAAAAAGCCTACTTAAGGTATCAGCTGTAGCATAGCTTCAATATCACTGAAGTTATCTCCATTGAAAGTTGTAAATATTATTTGATTGCTTCAGAAAATGGGATAAAACGCTTGTATGTTCAGTGTTCTTTGGACAGACAATCCAAACAAGGAGATTTTAACAAACTTCTTGGAGCAGGAATATCCCCAACACTGTGCTCCAGTATTTGCTAGAATTCACTGTAATACATTACCTACTTTCTCTAGACTGTAGTGCTTACTCACAGCTTCGTTGTCTGAACATGTGCTTACAGACACAATTTTAAAATAAGAACAGATATTTCAGGGTGTTTTTTCAGCCTGCCCTTCTTGGTATCAAGGCCGCATAAAACAGATTGGTCCTACATAAAGCATCATTTCAGAGCTGCAACTGTCACTGCAAATGGTACATGACAACATGGGAGAGCGTAACCTAACAATTCCATAACAATTTACATTAAAAAAAGGCAATTCTAAGCTACTGTCAAATGCAGAAAATACGGCTGTAAAATGGTGCACTTCTATTGTTTCTGAAACCATAAACTGGCAAAACATATAGTACATTTTCTGTCCACACTGTTCTTGTGTTCACACTCCGGAAGGTGCACATGCATACACTAAACACCCTCCAGTTTAGACTTCTACATAAATGATATAAAAAAAAAGCAACTTTGCATAATAAGACCCTGAACTAAATAAAATATTAGAGAGACTAATATAGAGTATTTCAATTATACTTTCTTATGATATGACACGATTTCCACTAGTATTTAAAAACAAACCTTTTATTAAATCTTCCATTGTAAGAAGAGTCCCCCAAATTTTTATCTTTATATTACTCTGTGAAATAAAATTATTTGCATGTATTGCAATCTGAACTTAATAAACCTTCCTGAAGTTTAATTGTTATGATATCAGCACTTCTTCTTCAATAACTCCACTAAGGAAATCCACTAAAAAGCAGTGTTCAAAAATTACCTAATTTAAAACTTCTACAGCTTGCATGAGTGAAACTACTGCAACATTGGACACAGCCAGAAGAAGAAAAAGAGCCTGTGTTGCTCAGTAAGTCACACTGTGTTTCCTAACAGTTGCCTTTAACATTAGAGCTTCTGCTACACAGTGCAGTATGCAGCAAAGGCAAAAACGCTTTAGAAGTCAGAAAGGGCTTATAGGAAAGAAAAAAATTGAGGGAGCCGATGAAGACATCCCATATATCAGATATTCAATAGGAATTCCTCAATATAAATGAGAGAGAGTAATAAAGGGAATGTCATCAGCTACTCAAGAAAATATGTTTTATTAATATTAAAAGATTTTTCCCTTCATTTTCAAAACATATTGCTTCACTGGTACAGCAGCAGTTATTTATATCAATAGTTAGCAAGAAAAAAATTCTGGAAGAGAACCTGTAAGTAATGAAATACTTCTGCCAGTAGGTTTTGTTATGAATTCTTACACAGAGGCAAGTTATTTTGCTATCTGTCATTTACTTACACACTGGCATTAAGATGTCAAATTGATTTCATGTCTGCTGATAGCCCCAGCCTAACAAATGGCTATCACTTATCTTTATTTTGTGGTAAACACTTTCTTAAAAATGAGGCAAGGCATAAAATGAAAGATTTGCTGATTTACTGTATTCAGAAGCAAGATGGCAGTATTGCTGAAGATCAAATGTTTAATTATGTTGTTGTTTTCTCTATCTAAGCATAATCAACATTACTGACCCACTAAATTAAGATTGCACTGCAAATTGCAGAAGTCTATAGAACAGAAAATATTTTATTGACTTTAGAATTATGGGCCTTTAATAGGACTACAGGTTTAACCCCATTTTATATAATTTAAAAGATAATTCTAAAGCACAGAATACATTTTCTGAGTACATTATTTTCACAGGATTATGTATGGTATTACAGTGTCTGGAAAAGAACTACTTAACTGGAAGAAGTTTTTGATGGTAATTTTAGGGTAATGTGGCTGTTTTAAACATGTTGAAGGAGTTTTGCATTCAAATAAAAGGTATGGAAAATACAGTGAAAAATAAAGAGGAACATTTGAAACTAATTAACAGCAGAATTGAACTGATAGATTCTCTGAAGCAAGTTCTAAGCAGAAAATAGGCCACAAAACAAGAGTTAGAAATACCAAACTGTGCATTACCTTAAGTGATTTTGCCAGCTGTACATGGTTATCATAGACTAGAATGTCCACTGTTAGCTTTCGCAGCTGATGAAGAAGAACTTTTTCTCCTTCCAGGTCTCTGGCTTCCACAGGCACCTTCCAGGTTGGGTAGGGACATTTTGTGCCATCCCATACCTGCAATGCAAATGAACTGTTTCAATATGCTCAAAATACTTTAGATTGAGATTTTAAGTAACTTCTGTTTTCTTAAAAAAATTGTTGTTTGATTAAAAATTGGTTACAAGAAGCAATCTTAATTAGAGTCTCAGTCTTAAAGTCCTTAAATTACTTAAATTAGATTTTATGGGATTTTTTTTTTAATTATTATTCTTTACAGGGTATAAAATAACCTCTATAGAGAATACGATCAATTGTTAAGACCTGGGATTTGTCAATATATTTTAAAAAAAAAATCAGCACTAGCAAAACCTCAACTGTTTATCCAGCAGTTAAAACTATTAGAACTCACTACATGCAGAAGTGTCTGTACTTAATATTTTAATCCTGCTACAGGGTTTTTTTAACCACTCCAGCTACAGTATGTGAAGAGTACACAGCATATACTCCCTTAATTACTGATCATCTCCTGCATCAGTATACACTGCTAGTTATCCAGTACGTATTAGAAAAACATCAGTATTTAACATGTGCTTATTAACAAGGATTCTAAAATATGTTTGCCTAAAGCTAAGTTCTTGATACCCTTCAGTATTGAAATATCAATACAGTTATTTTTGAGCTATGAAAGGTATTGTGAAAAAGTAAGATTACCACAGACTCAGCACTTTGGAACCAAAATCTTACTACTTAAATCAAACATTAACATTTCAGTAACAGCTGCTTACGATTATTCTGTAAGCTATGGTTTCTCGAGTTCCTGAAGATATACTCTTCTCAAACACAACAGGGATAATGGTCTGAAATGCTGGCATATAAAAAGAAAAATCTAGAGGCATTTGGACTATAAGACTGAAATACTGCATTTCATAGTATTTCATTGCATATAGGTTCAACAGAAGCTAATTTTCAGACACTTTGTGATATCAAGGTATTTTGTTCCACGAGTTAGGCACTGCAGAGGGGGAGGAAAAAAAAGACACCTGAGCTTAATTTTTAAACGGTTTCCACCCCTTATGCTTAACTGCTGCGGATCAAAGGACCCACAGGAAAAGATCTAACAATCAGCAAAGCCATGTGTAAATACACTGAGAATAACTCATGGTTGAAATACTCATCTCAAATGAAGAGATAAAAGGGAAAACTGTTCACAGTGGAAATGACACATAACATCAAATTAATGTTCCCAAGTAAGAGTGTATTCTGAAGGACCCAGATAATGAGGTGGTACATGCTGCCACAGATTTAAAAAAAGCCTATTATCTTCTGATCCTGTACCATGAAATACCTAAAACCACCTTTGAAAGAGAGGCTGCCCATTGCTTGAATTATCCAACCTTTTCCAGAACTGAGCTTGAGAAACACAGATTTAGTGCATATATGTATTATGAATTTTGTCACTTTGACAAAATAAAGAAGTTTAAGTTTGTAAAGTTTCCCATTATTTTTCAACTGTGTTTATCTGGGACACTTTGGCAGTTCTACACTTAAGAGACAGAACTGTGAATGTGGCACTTCAGGACATGGTTTATTGGGAATGGTGGTGTTGGGTTAATGGTTGGACTTGATCTTAAAGGTCTTTTCCAACCTTAATGATTCTGTGATTCTGTCAATCCACCCTGTCAGATATAAGGATGACTACTTAGCTTTAAGATGTCCTTCGCCAGAGGAACTAAGGGGGCTAGCATCAGGGCACCTTTTGAGGGAGTCTGTAAGCCAGTAAGCTTTCTTTCAAGAAAAAGAAAATCCTTATAAAAAAGTAGTTGGGTTTGTTTTTCACTTGCACAAATATGAAAGCAGATCAAGAGCTCTACCTCGGGAGCTTGCCAGCTTCACTTTACTCAAATTATGGATGAAAACACAGAAGCCCTGGTTTCAAAAACCAACACTGGTATAAAAACCAACACTGATTAAACTAATTCTGGATGAGAAACAGCAAATAGTTCCATTACTAGCCATGAACAGACTGGAGCTCAGGAATGGTTAGTGACAACCTTTGATCACCATGGTTGGCAAACACTGAAATGGGAGAGACACAATGAAACCTGTTTCTCTCTTCAGCAGAGTATGCTAATTGCATGACACAGCTTAACATAGACAATTTAACTGACAGAAGAGAAGAATAAGAGTAAAACTCTTATGAAAAGCATAAATAACAGAGTAATTTATAGTGTGAGTTTTTTAGTCTCCATCAGTCTGAATAAAAAAGCTATCAGGAAAAGGTAAGCACTAACCAGTTACAGTCTTTATGCCGTATCAGCCTCAGGTGATGTGTATATTCCTATTAATTTATCAAGTGGAATATTAAAAGTTATGCTATGGGTGATGCACAAAATCACCGAAATTCATTTTAGTTGTCTTTGAAACAATTCTCACTAGTTACATGAGCTCAATTAAAATAATCATACTTTATAGTATTATCAGACATTAATATAACTGATATACTTGGACTGACATGAAAAATGAAATAATTATTATAAAATGTATAACCAAAACAAAATAACAACAACAACAACAACAACAACAACAATAATAATAAATTAATCCATTTGAGCTGGTATTGAATTTGTTGGGTTTTTTTTGGTTTAGTCAGTCATAGAATCATACAGGTTGTAAAAGACAAACATCTTAAACAAGAGCATCAAGCCCAACTGTTGAACTAGCACTGCCAAGTCCACCACTAAACCACTAGGTCCCTAAGCACCACACCTACATGTTTTTTAAATATCTCCAGGGATGGCAACTCAATCACTTCCACCGGGCAGCCTGTTCCAATGACTGACAACCCTTTCAATGAAGAAATGTTTCCTTATATCCAGTCCAAATCTCCCCTGGAGCAACTGGATGCTGTCTCCTATTGTCCTATCTCTTGTTACCTGGGAGAAGAGACCGACAGCCACCCCACTACACCCTCCTTTCAGGTAGTTGTAGAGAGCAATAAGGTCTCCCCTCAGCCTCCTCTTCTCCAGACTGAACGACCCCAGTTCCCACAGCCACTCCTCATAAGACTTGTGCTCTCAACCCTTCACCTGCTGCATTGCCTTCCTTTGGACAAGCTCCAGCACCTCAACATCCTTCTTGTGAGGGGCCACCCTTCAGTGAGGGGCCCAAAACTGAACGCAGGATTCGAGGTGCGGCCTCACCAGAGCCCAGTACAAGGGCACAATCACTTCCCTACTCCTGCTGGCCACACTATTGCTGATACAAGCCAGGATGCTGTTG